AATTGTCTTATTTTTCTAATCAAATTAAGATCAACTTAATAGCATATATTTAGCTCTAGCTAAGGTATTTGGACCATGCGATGTCGTAGAAGATTAAGTTACGAAATTGTAGTATGTGAGTGTGTTATTGATATGCTTGTGAGTTATGTATGAGTTGTAGTGATCTGATCCCTTATTCCATTGATTGCTAATATTTAATTGATATAGTTGAATTTTTAATAGCTAAATTGAGAATGGTTAATGATTTTATGATATGGGATCAATTGACAATGAATTAATGAAATCATGTGAAATGTTATGCATAGAGTTTGTTTGACATACATCATGTGCGTAAAAGTATTTTTTGAAAGGGTACAATATGGAATACATCATCAGGGAAGGTCCCTTATGTAAAAGCTTAGGAACCAACCTTGGGGATAGCTCGATTTGGAAGTCTCAATTATGCCCTTATGAGCATGAGATATATCTTTCTCGACTTAGCTATCCCAACTAGACCCTGATTGTATGTCTTTTTAGTGAGAGTGTATAGAGAGTGTGACCCCTTATGTACTCCTAGACTACTCTAGTATGTTGCTAGCGATAATGCACAAGTGTGATGTTTTTACTAGTGCCACATGCATGATAACATGCAGTTTGTGTCCATTGCATACACATTATAATTTGTTGCTGTTTATTATGTTGTGGATGAGATAAGTATGATGATGATGTGTAACTATGTATATTATATCATGTTATATGTGTTATATGTGTTTAGCTAGTTAGTTTGCATTCTTGCACCGTGAGCTAGAATGAGATGTTTCTCACTCTTTTTTCCTTTTGTGTTATTTTCTTGTGATTTTTGCAAGTAACCACCAACATGGTGTTGAGGATGTTGGTAATGAGGCCTAGTCCTCAATGTTGGATTTTTCAATGATAGGACACGTGACACTAGGGATTAGTTAGGATTTGGTTTGTGTTACTTAAATTGAATAGTTGATTTTATTTCTTTTGTAATTTGATATTTTCGCTAAGTCTAGTTATGTTAAAATGTGATTCTTTCTACATGTACGAATTTCGAGTCTATTTATTATATTAAGGTATTTCATGTTATTTATTATATTATGTGTTATGGCACGTGGGGTAAAGGGTGTCACATAAACCACAATTGTTTTTGTCATAAACCAAACTTAAATACCTAATTTTTATCCTAGATAAAATTATGAAGTATTAACAAGACATATAAAAGGAAATAACCGCTACTTTCAGAGCGGTGTATTAGATTAGGATTTCAATGGATTTTAAAACTTTTTTATTATAAAAAAGTCTTGTGGTATTCAATCAAAACTTTTTGTTAATATATAAAAGTAATGTGGCATTAAATTAAGACTATTAAGATTTTCTTAAGAGTCCATCAAAATTTGGTAGTATTCAATTAAGATAATCGGAATTTTTTTAGGAGTCCATCAAAATCTAGTGATATTCAATTAAGACTATTTTTTGCATAAAAAAGTCTATTAGTATTGAAAAATATAGAAATTTCAATGGATTATTTTGAATACCAAATTTTGTGAGACTTTTTAGTATAATTTTCATGTAATTCATTCATTAAACAATCATGTCAAAACCTTTGAGATTTTGCATGACTTTTCTCCTCTTCTATTTCTACTCTTTCTTTCTTTTTTCTATCTCTTAAATCTGTTCTCTCGTCTTTCTTACTTCTTTCTCTCATATTCTTTTTTTTCCCTCTCCTTCTCTCTCGTCATTCTTGGTTCTTTCTCTTCTTTTCTTCTTTATCTCATTTTCTTTTTATTCATCTCTCATTAATTCTTTTTCTTCTTCTCATATTCTTTTTTCTTTCTCTTTCTCTCTCGCCTTTTGTGCTTTTTTCACTTTCTCTCCGTCTCTCTTTCTTCTTTATCTCTTTTCACTTTTTCTTTTTATTCATCTCGCATCTTTTTTTCATTATTAAATATTTTAAAATGATTTTTATATTATCAAATATTATTTATTGTTATTTTAAATTACTAAAATTTAACGGTTTAGTTTTAATAAAGTTTAATATTGAAATATAAAATTTTGGAACATATATTAAAAAACTTTTGCTGGTCATGATTATGACCTCTCAAAATGAAAACAAAGTTTTCAATTTACGTTATGCATCATTAAGAAATATGATTTAGAGGATCTTTAGTATTTTTAAATCATGCTTAACAATTTTTAAGTCAGAGTCTCTGTATCTATTTAACACACAAGATGAACTTGTATTAGTATGTATCACTACATAACTTTATTCGCAAAGAATGTCGTTCTTATGAATTTTTATTTAAATTATTAAATGAATTCTCATCTTCAAAATGGCAAATTAATGAAGACCATAATTTTAAACATATTGATCAGAATCAAGTGCATGAAAGAGAATGTGTCAATACACGGAGGGCTATATCACTTTAGATATGTGAAAAAATGTTAGTTTGAAGGACATTAAAGTCAATTATTTGTCAAAATATAATGACAATTATTCGTCAAAAGATAGAGACAATTATTTGTCAAAACATAAAAAATTGTGTTGGTTTTACTTTTCTTTATTATTTATGTTATATTTTTTTTATTAAATCTTGTAGTATTGCAAATCCATATTTTCTTGTAAAATCCACAAAATGCTTTAAAATATTATAATATAAATCCATAAAAATACCTTAAAATCCAAATTATATAATCTTGATTAAAATCCATATTTTTAAAGTCTTTTAAAAATATCTTAAAAGTCACGACATTCCTACAAAATATTTTAAAATCCATTAAAATTTACTAGATTTTTTAACTAAAGTTATCTTTTAGAATTCCAATGCAATACACTTCTCTTAGACACTATTATGATTGGCTTGAATTTGGTCCATCAAGAACATAATGGATTGCATAAAATAACACAAACATAAATTAGACACGTCATATAATAATAAATGAGCATATTACATATAATATAATATAAATAACATGAAAAGTATTATATATATATATATATATATATATTAATTTAACAATAACTTATTAAATTTCAAAAATAATTTATTAAAAAATATTATATTTTATAACAATTTTTTAAAAATTCTTCTTTCATTATTTTTATTTTATTAAGATTTTTTTATGTAAAAGTTAAGTAAAAAGAGACGATTGTTTTTATCAAGATTGTTTTTATAAAAAATTTCAAATCTTTTATTCTTTATTTATGTTTTTATCAAAATTTATTTATTTATTTTGAAATCTGAAATTCGCGTATGAAATACATATTTGTGGAAACATCTTTCATAAGATGTCTACTCCAAAAGAATATTGGACTGGAGGAGACGGCACTCGAATGCCGCATTTGCAACATAGCTTGTTATTCTTACCAATACTATCACAAACAAAATAATACAATAATAACAAAACTAACGTGTCATTCGAAAACTTTACGTAGTCATTACAAAGCTTTACGTGTCACTCACTCAAAAACAAGACCAAAAGAAACCCGGACAGAGGTAAAAACTCTGTTAATCTTATTTTTTATATTTATCTTTCTTTTATTTTTCTTGTTTCTTATCCAAACATATCACAAGGATTAAAATAATGGTTAGAATCGAGAATAATGAGAATTTGTGAATCAATATGTTTATACATTAAGCTTTTAATTTTATTATAATTATTTACAATATTTTATTGTATTTTAATATTTCCATATTTGTAAAATTTAGACGATTATTTAATTATTATTTTTACCAACTTAGAATTAATAGCAGACTGTATAAAAATGTCTCTCACCGACCGTCTAATTAAATTAAAGTGATATAACGTTATCATTGCATCAAAATTTAGTATAATTATTCAACGATAACAAATTAATTATTTCTATTTTATTACCTAATAAAATACTAATAATTAACAAATAATATTTATTAAAAAAATTATTTATAAGAATAGTTATTAAAAATTGTCAGTAAAAAAGTAAGAATAATTTTTAATTTATTTTATTAAAAAAAATTTAAATCTCACATCAACTAGAGGTACAACAAAAAATATATAAGTAGAGGAAAATACTCACTTTATAAGTTAATATTATGGGTTGAGTTAGGCTCATAACCTATTATTATAAGATGATATTAGATTTATTTTATGTTAGATCCACTCTAAAAAGAGTCACTCACCATTGATACATACCAAATCTAATAGTATTTGAGCGCGAGAAAGTGTATATAAGTATAGGACATAAAAGTTAGGAATCATTATAAATAGGTTAAATATTTATAAAAAAATTTTCAACTATTATAAGAATCTTTATAAGTATGTAGAACAATTGTCAATAAATATTTTACTGACACTACATACAATGACTAATGTAGAAATACTCGTAAAATATTTTGTAACCATTTTTATTACCACTAAAAATAATATTAAATATCATTAAAAAATTCTTTTTGTTGTGATAAAATCATAGATTTTAATTAAAAATATGAATATCAAATTCTTTGGATAAACTTATATTTTTAAATATTAAATTGAGTTTAAAAAATAATTAATTGAATGAGTTAACATCCAGTTCTAAATTTGAAAGACGTTATAGAAAAACTGTTGAATAAGTGAAAAATAACTCTCACCTTACAAGTCGATTTTGTAGAGTTGAGTTAGATTTAATCCACTATTCTAAGAGGTTAAAATAATTCCATTTTAATTTATAGAATTTCAAAATCAATATTAAATTTATGTGATTAAAAACAAACTTATCTCATTTTCAAAGGACAAAAATTTTACTATTATTACTTCACAATTATTTTTTTCATTTCAAACAAATATTATTATCCATTTACATTTTCAAAATTATTTAACAATTCTTTAATTTCAACAATTAATATAACAAAATCTTCCAAATTAATAAATGAAGAGTTTATTCTTAATAATCATCTTAAGCCAAAAAAGAAAAATTGAATTGGTGGCCACAATAGGAGTAGGTAAGCCATGTTCTATATAAGGTTGGAGATGAGTGCATATTCTTCCATGCTTCTGAACCCACTTTGTCCCATACATTAATCACCTCAATCTTTTGTTTCTTTTTTGTTGTTGATCATCATGAGTCTTTCTGGTAAGATGAGCACCGAAGTTAGGATACACGCATCCGCAGCCAAGTGGTTCAATTTCTTCTCATCTCAACTTCATCATATTCAGAACATTGCAGAAAGAATCCATTGCACCAAACTCCATCAAGGTCATGATTGGCATGCCAGTGATTCTGTCAAACACTGGAGTTACACCATAGGTAATTAATTAAGCTTGTAAAGTAAATTATGTTTAAATAGTCGTGAAAAATATTGTATATATATATATACTATTCCTAATAGGCACAAAATCTTGTACATGGGATATGTTGTACCAATATTATATATATTTTACTTTATTTGCTGTTAAAAAAAAAAATTTTCTTATAGCTCTCGTAGCTTTTTTATTTTTTATTTTTTATATATATTGTTTAAATATTTTATTTTAAGTTATATCTTTCGTTAACACACTTTCATAAGACCTTACATATATCCATATCAATATATATAGGTTATATATATTTTAATTATTTTTAGTCCCTATTTTACTTTTTAGACACTTTTATTTTCAAATTATACTACTATGCTAAATAAAAATCGCACAATTTATTCACTTTATATTTAATCATTCACTTTTATATAAAATATATCAATTACTACTATTTTTACCTTTTTGGTTTATCATGACTCTATATCTTTATTTTTAAATAATTATATAAAGTTACAAACGATTATTAAAAATCCTTATCCAAGGATACTAAATGAAGTGAGTTAGATAATTATAGAATTGTCTTAAATATTTTATTTTGGATTTATCTTATTATAACACTGAAAAACGAAGCAACACTAAACACCAACAATAGTTTCATAAGGGGTTTACATATCGTTTCAGAATATATATATTTATGGGTCATCACTACTTATTATTTTTCTGCTATTGATCTTATGCAATGTTTGTGTTACTGATCTTGATTACTTGTGAAACAACAGACGGAAAAGTAGTGACGTCTCAAGAACGCATTGAATCCGTCGATGAGCAGAACAAAAGAATCATATTCAAGCTCTTTGGTGAAGATATCGAAAAGCAGTTTAAGGTCTTTAATCTCATTTTTAAAGCGACTGATAAGAATGATGGCGTTGCTTGTATTAAATGGACCATTGAATATGAGAGGAAGAGTGAGGATGCTGAACCTCCATATGGCTACATTGAATTTTGCAACAAATGTGTTAAAGATATTGATGCTCATCTTCTCCAGGCAGAAGAGCTCAACGAAAGTTACAAAATAAATTAAAATATTAACTATTAATTTATATAAAAGTATGTACGTAACTATATATGTCGTTCTTCTGATAAGAAATATTGGCTATGCCCTATGACACATAATGTTTATCTGTTCAATAAGTGTCAAGTTTTATCGAGTAGAAGAAGTGTGTATCGTTTGTATGAAATTAATAATTGGAGATGTATGTGGGAGATCTCTTTGAAGAATGTTAAATTAATAAACAGATAACTTTGCTTTGTTTATGTGTAAGGTTTGATTATTCCTTCGACGTGTTGATATATATTTTATATATATATATATATAATAAATAAATAAAATATAATAATAATTTTACAAAATTAATATTATTACTAACTTTTTTCAAAAAATAATGTAACTATAATCTTTTTAAAAATATTATTAAAGATATAAAGTGCTTTAAAATTTGTTTTATTTTCTTTTCACTTTTTTACAAACTTTTTTTTGTATATTTTTATTTTTTTCTTTGATTTCCTTTTTTACTCTTTTTTTTCTTTTTCTTTAAAAAAAAACTGAATGTAAGCACTAAAAATAGAGGATAAAACTAGGAACAAATGACTTATTAGTGATGTAGAAAAATATATAAAAAGTGTGAATGTACCATAGACGTTTTAAAGACTAGTTTTGGTTTTAAAGACTAGTTTTGGTTCTAATTTTCTTTAGGTTTTGAACACTTCTTTTTTATTATTTATCTCACAATTTCTATTCAATTTTTAATGTTCAATTAAAACATAAAAGACTCAATGGAATTGTTTGCCTTAAATTGCTAAACAAGAATTAGCTAGCAAATGAAGTTCACATAAATATAATACTAGAACATGCTAGATCTAATAACATGCATAAGATTCATATAATGAGCACTTATAAGATTTGCATTAGGTGCAACCAACAATGCTTATGACACAAAAACAAAAATAATGTTCAAAGATTCAAAAGAATAAAAAAGCACACAATGAAAGTAATGATATATAAGGACTAAACAAGATAACTAGACAAAATTAAATGGAATAGAAAATTGAAAAAGTACTTAACCGTACATTTAATTTTGTTTTACGATTTTTTATTTTGACTGAATTTTAATGGAACCAATCAAGATATAAACAAAACTTAAAAAGAAAATGCTTGGTCATAGTATACCTAAAGCACATAATGAAGATTGATTCATATGAATTGATGCATGAATTAAAAACTACAAGACAAAGTAAATATGTGACACAAAAACAATTCTAATTCATACAAACAATATACAATCAAGGAACAAACACGGTGACCGAATCTAAAGATTCAAAAGAAGCTATAGAAAGAGTTTGGAAGCCCCAAGGAGAGACTATTGATGTAGTTCCTCCTTCAAGCTTCTAGAACGAATTTTTTGCTTCTAGGACTTCTTCTAGATGCCCCAATGGCTTTTTAAGCGTAGACACCCAATTTCATCTAGGGTACCCAAACCAAGGACAAAGGTCTACTAGAGTGAGACAAATGGCCCTTGAAGGGGCAGTATGTTGGATAACATTTTTGTTTTGATAATATCTCTCATTACAGATCAAATTTTTACAATCTGACCATTGAAGTTAAAGATCAATGTATTAAGAAAGTATCATCAAAATTTCAAAATGATGCAACAATTAACAAATTCTTTAGAGGCCTCACATTGCAGTTGGAATAAAAGCATGACGTACGGCCCCTAAGGGCCTAATAAAGCACCTAAACGGGCCAAGATAACTCTAGAAGGCCAAGAAAACTAAAAAAGAAAATTAATTTGGGGTGTGGAACATCCATTCCCAAAATGGAACAGGCCGTTTCCAATGTTAGAATGACCCGTTCCGAAATAAAAATAGCCAGTTCCCCTTTCCAAAAAGTTTTGCATTAGGCAGCATTTTTGTTTTGATAATATCTCTCGCTAAAGACTTAATTTTGACAACCTGACCATTGAAGTCAAAGTTCAATGTATTAGTAAGAAATCTTCAAATTTTTAGCATGACCCAACGGTTAATGAATTCTCTAGAGGCCTCGCATTGCAGCTAGAAAATAAGAGTCCTATACTAGATAACATTTTTGTTATAATAATATCTCTCACTACAAACCCAATTTCAATGATCCAACCGTTGAAATTGAAGATCAATATATTGTGAGGATACCATAAAAAATTCAACATGATCTGACGGTTAACGAGTTCTCTAAAGGTCTTACATGGTGCCTAAAAAAAGATTGTATTTTTATAAAATTTAGTCCCATATCGGATAGCTCTCTTATGCTTTTGCCTCCTAGAGGACTTCAAGTTGCATAGCTTCCCCCTCTCTCTATATATATCTATAAGTGATAGTGAGGCTTTTTGTAAAGTGAAGGACTGCCAAAACGTGTCCCGCACGCATTTGGAAAGATTCCTTGATGGCATCCTTGCTTCCATTGAAGAAGGAATGTTGAACAATGGCAATGGATGCTTGAACTCCTTGGATCAAAGTTCCTCAAGGGACGTTTTAATGGAGGAATGGGGCGGAAATGGAAGTGTTTGGAGGTTGGGTAGAAGGTGTTTGAGGAAATGCTTGAGGAGGGTACTCTAGGGTTGGCTCACTTCATGATGATGAAGGCCACTTCTAGGGTTGTTTCTCTCAAGGTGGAGATGGGAGGGAGGTGGTCGAATTAGCCAAGGGTGACTAAGGAATGATATAAAGGAACAAATTCTCTCTCTATATTCAATATCCAAAGTATTTACAAGGTGTGGTGCCTAGGGTATTTATAGGAGTGAGAGGCATCTAGGGTTGCATTAGCCGAAATTTACAATGCCAAATGCACACCAAATGAAACCCAAATTAACCCTAGATGCAACTTGGTGGCCAAGGATGGAATCTTTGGGTTTAGTTAAAGAAATTTTTGTATTTCTTTTGTAATCTTTGAGGATTATATCCTAATCCTGCCTTATCGAATACACATCTTTGTTTTCCTAATATTATATCTAAGTTATTTCTTCCACCAGTAAAATTTGCAAGAGTGTTTCTTAGATTACTAATTTCTTCTTTAAATTTATTGCAAGTTGAACATGGATGATTTGTTTTATCAATATCTAACTTATTTTTAATCTCTTGATTTTCATTTTTAGAATTAATTATCTTAATTTCAGTTTTAAGATTATCTAATTCATTATTTAATTTCAAATCTCATTTTCTAAGTTTGAAATTGTTTTCTTATATGATGATACTAATTTTGCAAGTTTAAATGATTCTTTATGTAAATCATTGAATGCATCTTGAATTTCATCAAATGAGATTGAGATATCATTGTTAGAAGATGTTACCTCTTCTTCGCTTTCGTAATCCTTGGCCATGAGTCCCAAATTTACAATTTCATTTTCAGAGTCACTTGTAGAATCCATGTCATTTTCTTCCAAGTGATATAAGCTTTCTCCCCTTTCATTTCTTTGAAGCTTTTCTTGTTGGATTTTTCCATTTTTTTTAAGGATCAGACATTCTAATCTCAAATGTCCCGATTGATTGCATTCATAGCACCTTGGGGTTGAAGAAGATTCTTCTCCTTTCTTCTTTATGTTGAAATTGAATTTTGTTCTATTTCCTCTATTCCTTAGGAATTTGTGGAATCTTTTTGCAAAGAGATTGAAATATTCATCATCATCATCATCATTCCTTAATGTTGTCATCTTTTTCATTTTCTTCATGAGAGGATGAAGATGCTTTAAGTGCTATACTTTTCTTCTTTTTGTCACTATTTTCATTTTGACTTAGTCTCATCAATTCCATTTCATGCTCTTGAAGTTTTCCAAATAGAGATGCAAGAGACATGGTTGTTAGATCTTTTGATTCAGCAATTGCAGTCACTTTCGGTTGCCATTCCCTACTCAAACATCTCAAAACTTTGTTAATAAGATCTTCATTAGGAAACACTTTTCCTAGAGATGCAAGATGATTAATTATATGTGTAAATCTCTTTTGCATGTCTTGTATGCTTTCATTTTGATTCATTCTAAATAATTCATATTCATGAGTGAGAGTGTTTATCCTAGATCTTTTCACATCATTAGTGCCTTCATGTGTTACTTCAAGTGTATCCCACATTTCTTTAGCACTTTTACAATTTGAAATTCTAAAATATTCATCAATTCCTAAAGCAGAAGTGATTATATTTTTGGCTTTTAAGTTATATTGAACCTTTCTTCTATCATCTTCACTCCATTGATCTTTGGGCAAATTTTTTATTTCATGACCTACTACAATAGTGGGAATGAAAGGACCAATTTCAATAGCATCCCATATGTTTAAGTCTATGGCTTCTATAAAAATTTGCATCCTAGATTTCCAATAATGATACCCTTCACCATTGAATATTGGAGGTCTATTAATGGAGTTTCCTTCAGAAAATAAAAAATTTGTTGAGGCCATTTCAATTCTTGAAGCTTTTAAGCCTTATACAAGAAACTTGCTCTGATACCACTTGTTAGTCAAGTAGCCTCGTATAACTTAAGAAGGGGGGGGGGTGAATTAAGTTTTCTAAATTTTACTCTTATAAAAACTTTTCCGAATTACTTTCTTATCAATTTATTTCCTTAGACAAATTTGTACGTAAAGAATGATGATGTAGAACAACTCAAACACAATTAAATAACAAATAAATAAAAGTGTAGGGAAGAAGAATTGCAAACTTGATTTTATACTGGTTCGGCCAATCCTGCCTACATCCAGTCCTCAAGTCTCCCACTTGAGATTTCCACTACTCTTGTAAAAGTTACAAGACTTGAATCCTCCAACACCTCGGAACTCCCTTTCCTTGTGTTTTGATTCAAAAACCAACAAGGAGAAAAACCCTTTCTCCTTTACAGATCAACAGATCAATAGGGTATGACAGAATGACTGTCTTTGAAGAATAGATATTACACTTTCTAAGAACTTGATGAACTCTTTAGAGATTTATGCAAATGATTTTGGCCAAGTAGTTTTTGTAAATGATTTTCACAATAGAGTTCGTCACCTTTCTCTGAGAAATTATAGGTATCTATAGACAATTGTTTCTTAGGTTATGTCTTTTCATGAAGAGTTGTAACTTTCTATAATTTTTCAGAAAATAGGCTATGGTAATCGATTACAAGACTTGGTAATCGATTACAACGGTTTAAGTTCAAAATGTTTGAAACATTGTATAATTTAAATTTAAATTTTGAAATTTTATCTTCTGGTAATCGATTACAATGACTGGTAATCGATTTCCAGAGAGTATTTAA